GGAGTTTAAAGACTCTTCCAAGCTTGTCTTCTTTTAGAATGTGATCCTTCATTACCTCCTGTTTACCCCTCGAGGCTCTGAGCCTGCTCATCTTTCCTGGAGCAAATGTTTCAATCTGGAGGGAATGTTCAGAACGTGCCCTCCAACATAGCCCCCTTTCTTCTGCTTCCTGTGGTCTTGTCTTCCCTGAAGCTCTTCCATGATCATTTTTCATGAGATGCAGAGTTCCAGGATGATAGTTATCTTACCCGTATCATTTGGGATACTCTCTGCTCCTTTTGTTTAGGCTGCTTTCCCTTGGCCTTGGCAGGTTGTGCTGTGATGGACCTTGGTCAGTCTACTCTTCAGCCACCCTGCAGTTTATGCTGTGACATTTCATGGTTTTACTGCCTTTTCCACAAATACAAAAAAGACACTCCCCACCAGCTTTGAAATGCAGGACAAACTGAGTCCACTTTCTGGCATAGTACAGGAGCTTGATATCTGATTCTTGCTGCCTATGTTCCTGGGCTCTGAGTAACTTAACTTTAGATCTTTTCACTGTAATCTTCCGTTGCCCTCTTTGTGTTATGCTTCATACTGGATTAAAAAAAAAAATGTTTTCTTGAAGCAGTCTCACTGCACAGCCCAGGCTGACTTCAAACTCTCCATCCTCCTGCTTCAGCCTTCCAAGAACTCAAGAACTGAGATAACAATAGTATGCAACCATGTGCAGTTCCTCAACATTTTAGTCATTTATTCTCTTGACTTTATTCACTGTTTTAAATCCTATTTCAGTTCTTTTCTTTCTTTGAGGTAGGACTTTGCTGTGTAGTCCAGACTGGCCTTGAACTCATACTATCCTGCCTAGCTTTCAGAGTGCTGGGATTACGGGCTTGTACCACAATACCCATCTCGACCTATTGAATTTTTTTTGTTGGTTTTTTTTTTGTTGTTGTTGTTTTGTTTTTTAAGACAGGGTTCCTCTGTGTAGCACTGGCTGTCCTGGAACTCGCTTTGTAGACTAGGCTGGCCATGATCTACCTGCCTCTGCTTCCCAAGTGCTGGTATTAAAGGTGTGCATACCTACTGAATTAATTTGGGTTACTGTAGTTCCTAGTTTTAGAATTTCTTTTTTGTAGTGTTTGTGGCTTTATCTATACTTAGTCTAGTTGAGGAGTGGCTTCTAGATCCTTACTTACCTGGTTTTGTTTTTACTGTGCTACCACCCCTAGGAGTAGTTGCTTTTGGTTAAGCCCCAGACTTCTTGTGAGAACCTGGAATGGACTGATAGGCTTAAGGTAATCATCTACTTCCTGCTTCCTCCCTGCCTTGCAGGCCTGAGACCATTTTTTTCTTCTGCAGGTGGATGATGAACTGGAAATCAAAGCATACTATGCAGGCCATGTACTGGGGGCAGCCATGTTCCAGATTAAAGTGGGCTCAGAGTCTGTGGTCTACACGGTCAGTGCAAGTACTTGGCTTGAGTGTAGCTGCTGGGGTAGAAAGACACCTTCCTCATTGTCATTTTCTTTGCCAGGGTGATTATAACATGACCCCAGACCGGCATTTGGGGTGAGTAGGCCTGTCTTTCACCCCGTGGGAACTTCCTGGAATCTAAGAGGCATCATAGTGGGCATTTAAATGCTCAGCACTTCCGTGGTCCTCCCATGCATTATGGAAGTACCTGTGGAAGTCTGGGCTAGAGGCTCTTTTCTCCTGTTGTCTCCCTAAGAGTATGCCGTCACGATGTTTGACGGGCCGTGTAGAAGGCTCATGTCACGGTGATCTAGAGATGTGCTGTGTTGGGGCTACAGTCCACTTTGCTCCCAATTCTGCAGCCATGAGCAACCCACTATGCCTATTTCTATCTCTGTTGTAGGGCTGCATGGATTGACAAGTGTCGCCCCAACTTGCTAATCACAGAATCCACGTATGCCACAACTATCCGGGATTCCAAACGCTGCAGAGAGCGAGATTTCCTGAAGAAAGTTCATGAGACTGTGGAGCGTGGTGGGAAGGTACTGACTATAGCCGACTCTGGGTGTGTGCCTGCTCTGGCCACACAGTATGGTCTCCAGCAGGCTTTACTGCTCTCCGTGTGGTCAGGGTCTCTGGGTGTGGGGGTTACTCTTTATTTGGTGCTGAGATGACAGATTCCAGAGTCTTCTATTCCCTCATGTTTGTATCCCATGAACGGCTGTTCAGGAGCCTCTCATAGTTCCTGCTGTCTCTACGTGTGGCGTGTGTGTGTGTGTAAAACCCTGTAGTTCTTAAATGTCTGGCTATCCCTTTGCAGTAATGCTATCTGAACGCTGTCATTCAGCCTGCCAGCAAGGGTGTATATAGTGAGCATCTTGCTACTTGCTGTGTTCAGGGAAGGGTAATGTGGCCAGTGGCTCCCACCTGAATCAGCCTCACCTGCCCTCAGGTGCTGATCCCTGTGTTTGCACTGGGCCGGGCACAAGAGCTGTGCATCCTGCTGGAGACCTTCTGGTAGGTACAAACAGGAATATTCCAGGGTGGGCAGGAAGGCATGGAACAGGCTCTGCATAGACGATTCCTCTTACTGCCAGGCACAGTGGAACTGTGGAGAAGTCAAGGCAGCAGTGACTACCACTGGGTACTGTATGTCCAGGATACAGTACTGTTTGCCCTGCTGTCCTGGGCGGAACTGTGCATGTACTGGGACATCACATTTGAACCATTAGCTGTGGGCTGTATTTGTCACTGGATGGACTACTGATCTCCTTACATGAGCTCTGGGGACCCCTTCCACTCCCATGTTTGTTTTATAGGATATAAGCTGAGAGGTCTGGCCTGGTGGTCATCAGGGTAGAGACAGCACAGGGGACAATGTTCAAGGGACATTGAACTCAGCCCTGGCCATAGCAGTCAAAGGCACAGGGCTACAGGTTGCAGGCTAACTCTGTCCTCCCTGCACTGACTGGGCTGGTGGACACACAGGGAACGCATGAACCTGAAGGTGCCCATCTACTTCTCTACGGGCCTGACAGAGAAGGCCAACCACTACTATAAGCTCTTCATCACCTGGACCAACCAGAAGATACGTAAGACTTTTGTCCAGAGGAACATGTTTGAGTTTAAGCACATCAAAGCCTTTGACCGGACATTTGCTGACAACCCAGGTCCCATGGTAAGGCCCTACCAATGCAGCTTTTCCTCATCTGGCCTTCAAGGATCCCTGCCCGTGGGGTTTCAGGAAAGAGCCCCTTTCCTGAAATAACCTGGTGCTTATTGCAGCCCTGGGAGGAAAGGTCTACTCTTCTGACCCTTGTCAATCCTGCAGGTTGTGTTTGCCACACCTGGGATGCTGCATGCTGGCCAATCTCTGCAGATCTTCCGAAAGTGGGCAGGAAATGAGAAGAACATGGTGAGGGCTTGGAGCCAATTCCCAAAGTGGATGGGGCTTGTCTTAGGGAACTGGAGTACAGAAGGACTGGCCCTTGAACTTTCTGTTTCTTAATCCCATAATGACTTTGCTGCTGCTGTGTTCTACCAGCAGCAGCCCAGACTGAGTATTCAGGTCAGGGGTTGTCCCAAGAGGAAATGTTTATGTTGGGAGGCCACCTCTGCTTTCAGGTCATCATGCCTGGCTACTGTGTGCAAGGCACTGTGGGCCACAAGATCCTTAGTGGGCAACGAAAACTGGAGATGGAAGGGCGTCAGGTGGTGAGTACCTCCCTGTCCTGGGCTCAGCAAGGCTCCCAGGCTTTTACTGCTGCTGCTAACTGCCTGCATCTTGTGACACCACAGCTGGAAGTAAAGATGCAAGTGGAATACATGTCATTCAGTGCCCATGCTGATGCCAAGGGTATCATGCAACTGGTGGGACAAGCAGAGCCAGAGAGTGTGCTGCTGGTGCATGGCGAGGCCAAGAAGATGGAGTTCTTGAGGCAGAAGATTGAGCAGGAATTTCGTAGGCAGCTGGTGGGCAGGGATGGCCTGTGGGATGGTACAGGCAAGGCTGCCAGCCTAGACTGAGACTCTGTATCACTCTCCTCAGGAGTCAGCTGCTACATGCCGGCCAATGGCGAGACAGTGACGCTGCCCACAAGCCCCAGCATTCCTGTAGGCATCTCCCTGGGGCTGCTGAAGCGGGAGATGGTGCAGGGTATGAAGGGGAGACTGGGACACGGGCCGAGGGAGGCAGGTAATTGGTGCTTGTGTTGACTGCAGTATTCCTTTCCTCACAGGACTGCTCCCTGAGGCCAAAAAGCCTCGGCTCTTGCATGGCACACTAATTATGAAAGACAGTGTAAGTGTGTAAAGAGTGATGGGGGGGTAGCATTCATTACTTCCTCTGACTAGCTTGCCCTTGCCCCACAGAGTTTCCGGCTGGTATCCTCAGAGCAAGCCCTCAAAGAGTTGGGCCTGGCTGAGCACCAACTGCGCTTTACCTGTCGTGTGCACCTCCAGGACACACGCAAAGAGCAAGAAACAGCCCTACGTGTGTACAGTCACCTCAAGAGGTGCGCCCTGGCCTTGCCCCCACCCCTACAGGCAGGGTGAGGCAGGGATCTTACTATGCCTCTCTACAGCACCCTCAAGGACCACTGTGTACAGCACCTCCCTGATGGCTCTGTGACTGTGGAGTCCATTCTTATCCAGGCTGCTGCTCACTCGGAGGACCCTGGTACTAAGGTGCTATTGGTCTCCTGGACCTACCAGGTAAGGATGGGTGTCAGTGGTTTGCCTGGGGCCTCACTTCCTTGGCATTAGGTTGTCCGTGGGTAACTGTGCTTCCCTTTCTTCTAGGATGAAGAGCTGGGAAGCTTCCTCACAGCACTGCTCAAGAATGGCCTTCCCCAGGCGCCCAGCTGACCTGCAACCTCAGTAACCCACCACTCTGTCTCCTGTTTGCCCAGCAGAAGGACCAGGACTTTGGCTTTGGGAAGTGGGTGCCCTGAGACCCTGAGACAGATTCTGTCCTAGGGACAAGATCAGAGTCACAGGCTGGCTACAGTAATAAACAGGCCTTTTTTACTCTATGCCTTTTATTCCTACTCCCTTATCCCTAGAGGATGGGGCTCCCAGGAAAACAGAAGCTACTTGGGTGCTTACAGCTGTTTCCTGCCTGGCACCCCATCATTAGTGACAAAGTGATGTCCACGGTGGAAAGACTGGGGAGGTGGGAGCTGCAGAAAGGTAGGCAGGACTACCAGAGCCCCACAGAGCTGTGGGTTAGTCTCTGCTGAGTGCAGTAAACACTGAGTAAGGCTGTCGGTCAGACAGTCTGCTGTGTGGCTCTTCACCTCCACTGAGGGTACAGTCAGCTGGTTTCCACATTGGACTTTACAGGGCTCAGGATGTAGGACCTATAGATAGACCCTCGGTTAGAGCAGAACTCCTACAGTTGCATCCAGAGACCCCCACCTGTGGACCACTCAACCCAGGCCACCACGCTTTTTGGTCACTGGTCCCCAACTGAAGTCCTTTCTCCCACTGTCACTGATTTCCCCACTAGGTGCTTGGATTCTCATCTAGTACGGTGCGGGGGGGAGGGGAGGGTCTGACTGCCTCTAAAAGGCCCCTACCCTCAGTGAGGACCTAGGTCTTTCCCATCCCATCCCCTCTTACCGAAATCATCATATAGCACTGACTTCAAGAACAAGCCACGGGCTGGGGCAACTCGAGTCTGATACTTGCCCAAGGGATCTTGACTCTCCAGAATGGCTTTCACCTGTGTAGGTGTCAGGGTCCCTTGCCCCACAGCCACCAGCACAGCTGTCATCCTCCGTACCTGCAGTAGAGCTGAGATGGTCACAGGTGTCTATCTGATGCACCTTGGGAGGGTCTAGTACAGCCTACCTGTCGATACAGGAAAGACTGGCTTTCAAACTCCAGCGTCCAGAACTGCAGCTTCCTAGGAACACAGAGGGCTTTGATGTCCAAGCTACAGGCCAGCCCCAGCCATCCTAGCCCAACATGTGGCCTCAGGCAAGATAAAGATTGAAGTTCTGGTTTAAAGGCTCATCCATCCAGCGTGGGTTCTTGCCTAGTTGACCACCAGTTCCAGAGATCGAGTGGGTATTGCACGACTTTTCCTGGCGTCTATATAAGCAGACAACTATGTAACAGAGTCATCAGCCTGTGCACAGGAGACAGCAATTGCTTTGAGCTTTCCTTCATGTGGAAAGGCCACAGTATGGGTGTGGAGGTAGGACAGGAACCCTGGCCTAGTCCTTCCTCCCCTGGGGGCTGGCATTAGCTGCAGTGTTCTCAAGGTCAGCAGTTGGTTCCCGGTGGGAAGTCCACTAGGCAGTGCTTGGGGCAGAGAACTTATGCAGTCTGTCAAATTGGACTGGAACTACTACTCCAATGAAACCTTTTCAATGACTGCCAAGTCCATCTGCTACAGAGAGCTATGGGCATGGCAGGGTCCTCAGAAAGGCAACATTCTCTACCCTGTGCTCCCCAGCCAGACAGGAAAGCTACTGGTTCATCTCTTAAGTGGCCAGCACCTTCCACCCTCTAGGCCTTATGGATGACCAGTATACCAGTTTAGCATCAGCCTGCTGTTTTTACTGTTTTGTTTTTTTCAAGACAGGGTTTCTCTTTGTAGCTCTGGCTGTCTAGGAACTAGATCTGTAAATGGAGCTGGCCTCTAATTCACAGAGATCAGCCTGCCTTTGCCTCCCAAGTGCTGGGATCAAAGGAGTGCACCACCACCACCCAGGGCATCATCCCATTTTTATGGGATTATTATGAGGTCTAATTTAACCCTGGTGGCCTCTAGACCAGCAGCAGACAATAGTGCAAAGCACACTTCTCACCTGCTCTCCTGGGGGAGGGCAAATAGGCTGGCTGGACCAGAAGACACAGAGACTCTTCGTAGTGTGCGCACGGGATTTGTGGTTGGGCTGCCGGCAGACTGGAAAGCACTGAAATCATGTGTCCCGACGAGGTGCTGGGCAGCCTCCTGCATGGCAGCCACATCCAGGCACCTGCAGAGGCAGATAAGCATTGAGGAGGGCCCAGCCAGATGCTGGTGAACCATTTCTTCCCGTTCTTGGTTTACTCACTTTGTCTGGAGAGCCCAGCATACATTCTGCTCAAACACGGGCAGCTGATCAGGCCAGGAGCAGCCTGTGGCCAGACGGTATAGGTAGGTTCTGGAGGTGGCTGCACGGCGTGCATGGAAGTCATTGGGCACTCGGAAGGCCTTCAGTACGCTGTGGCAAACAAATCTGGCTCATCCCGGGAAATCTCCCACTCACCTCTAAGTTGCCCAGAATACAATGTCGTTCTGGACCTCAGACTTCCTCACAGTGAGGTGTGGGGTACATTAGTAAAGAACAAAGACCAGAACCACACTCAATCCCCGGCTCACCGAATGTCGCGGTGCTTCAGGTGGGTGTTGAGGGCCTGGGTCACGACCTCCGGGGAGTAAGGCGGCAGGCCGGAGCGGCGACAGATGTCCAGGTGCGCCGCGTTGCTCAAGGCATGCACCCCGGCATCAGTGCGGCTGGAGATAGTAAACCTGACGGGCTCAACGGAGTTCAGGCGCTTGGCGGCCTCCTGCAGGGACAGGGTGCGGGCCGGGATTGGGGCTGTCGGCTGCTTCTCCCCCCCATTGTCCCCAAGAAAAAACAGCTCACCTCCAGGAAGTTCTGCACCCCAACAGCGCGATGGTTACCCCTCACGGCCGCGACCCCACTGCGGAGAGATACAGCAGGGAGTTATCGGTAGCGTCTGCGGGAGCTGTCCCGCCTGGAGTCTCGGCCCCTACGGGCGTCTCGCGAACCCCCTGCGAGCCCGAGTGGAGACACCGGAGGTGATGACAGGGAAACGTACTTGAAGTCCGTGCCCAAATACTGGAAGAACACGAGGTAGCGCGCGCGCACAGGACCCACAGTCCCGCAGGAACCCATGGTGGAGTAGCTGGTGGGCGGGGCGGTTGCACGTGGCCGGCGGTCCGCCCTGCCCCGCCGCGAGGCGCCTGCGCACTCACTCGGCTCACCCCGCCCGGCCTCCGGGACCGAGCGACGGAGGCGGGGCCAAGCTTAGGGAGCGGGTGCGAAGTGCCGTCCTCCGGGCCCGAAGGGGCTCACTGTCCTCTGCCTCACAGGGCGCGGCGACGGGTTGTTTCAGCACGAGTGTCCTCCTTAATTTGTTCACCCCTTCACTCCCGATCTCCCCGCCACCGTCCCGTCCTCCCGGAATGTGTCTGTCTCTGCGTTCTGACCAAGCGCTCCCAAATGTTGTTTTGTAAATTTCCTGAGTTTAACCAAGACAGGGATGCCCGAAGTGAGACAACCGCGCCCTTCCCTTTCTCGCAGCCGGGCCGACCTCTCTGAATCCCAACCGCCGCGGCCGGCCCAGCTGCTTGACCCCGGTGGCTGAGGACAGAGGACGGTGACAGGCAACGGGGTGCAGCGGCGCATTTAGCGACGCTCCCTGGAGGTGACAGCGGGTGGTGCAGGCGGCGGCGGACTTTGGCGACGCTCCCCGGCGGTGACAGGCGGGGCGGGGCAGCGGCGCGCCGGCCTCATTCCGAGGCGGGCGGGCGGGCGGGCGCGGAGCGCTGCGCGGGCGCGACGGACCGTCCACCGGCCGGGGATGCCGCTCGACGCGTCGTGGTCCTCGGTTCAGTGAGCGCCGCTCGCCGCAGCCATGACGGTAGAGTTCGAGGAATGCATCAAGGACTCGCCGCGCTTTAGGTGTGCTGTGGGCCTGGGATAGGGCACGGTCAGGGATGGGTAGCCGCCTTTGTGCCGGGGGCGGGGAAGGGATGCCCAGCATCGTGACCGGTCCGAGTCCACCTGGACGGAGCAGAAGACCTGGCCTGGATAAACCTGCCGGAGCCGGAGTCGCGGTCCCCAAGCCGCGCAGCTCCGCCTCCGGCCTCGGGGGACCGGAACAAAAGACGCCCCTGTCTGTGCTGATCACCTCCCGCGCGGGGGGTGAGTGCTCGGACTGCCTTGGGCAGCCGTGTACCGCCGGGCATTTGCGTTCAGTGCCACCTCTAGAACTGTCCACTCTCCTTTGTGTTTGTGCTTTCGTATGTCACTAGTACTGAGCTCCCCGTGGGCCCTGTAGTCCAGTTCTGGCTAGGATTGTCTAGAGCCCTGCTTCGCCTGTCCCTGGTTTCTGTCTTGGCCCATATGTCCAGAGCAGTGTATGGGTGCAGCCAGCTGGAGCAATCAGAGCCTGAGATGGACACCCTGGTGAAAGTGAAGAAGGGTGGTATGAGTGACCCGGGCTCCTGGAGGGGTGGGGGTTGTGGGGACGAGGAAGTCAGGCTTAGGTGGGAGGGTATGGACCTTGTTCACTTATGAGTTTGTTTCTTTTATTGTTCCTGGACATACAGTCGTGCACGTCTGTGTGAACCACATGGCCACACAGATATACATCTGTTTCATTGGTTGACATTTGGCAAACAGTAATGGAGTACCTCCTGTGTGTCGTTTGAAATTGTATACCTTCATGAGGTCCCCTACCTCTGTGTGTGCATATATACAGGGGAACATGTTCTGCCACTCTGCCCCTCCTTTGAGGAGGTGCCAGACCATGCACATGGATGTGTAGGTGAGCTGCAACACGGGGTTGGTGCGCTTGATGCATGCACATAGAGGGTGCACACATGTATGTGCGTGTGCCACCTCTCTGTGGATTCACGAACCATGTTTGCCATGCAGCTGTGTGTTTTAACATGGGTGCACATGCCCATGCACATGTGTTCACCGTGTCCATGGAACACACATGTCTGTGTGCCCAGTGCTACTACATGCGTGCATGCATGCATATTTACATATAAATATGTATGTGTGCCTTTGCACATATGTGCTTGACCACATTTGTACATGCAGTTCAGCTCTTTTCAAAACCACCGTGCAAGAGAGTCAACAAGAAACACCTCAAGAGCCTTGGCGCATTAGTTAGCCAAGAGTGTCCGCTGACTGTAGGCAGGGAACTTGAAACAATCTTCATCTCTGCGTTCCTATTTTCTATCCCTGAATGATCGAGTGACTCAGATACCCCACAATTCTGTATTCAGGCCTGATAGGAAGCATGGCCAAGGCCTCAGTGTCAGGCACTTGGCCTCAGCTGAAGCCCCCTGACCCCTTTCTGAGAAGCTCTGGCTCCACTCTGCCTTGTGGAGGGGTTTGGGCCTTAGCAGAAATCCATTCACTTCTGGGCCTTCTCTGCTATAGCCAGCCAGTTGGACTTGTGGGCTGCAGTAGGTGTGGCAGCTGGCTAGGCTTAACATCGCTTCTTTTGGTGCATGTGTAGGGGGTGTTGTGGGAGATGACTTTCTGGACTTTGGTTCTGGTGCCATGGAAACCTGGCTTGGTGGTTTTGGGTGGGCTGTGATTTGATGGATTTGAAGAGTACCTTGTCTACTCTAAGGTGTTACTAAGGTTATAACTTGATCTTTCTGGCCAAGAACCTTTAGGTAGGGCAGGGTGCGCCTGGCAGAAGGATGTGGAAGTGAGGTGAAGCCTAGACCCTAACCTGGAAATGGTGGGAATTTTGTTTTGGGGCTCTTAGCCTAAGATAAGGGCTTATGACAGCAGCCTTAGGAATGTCTCATAGTCCCTGAAGCTGTGGGTGGGGGTGCAGGGGAGCCCCGGAAGAGAAGCCGCCCAGCCTTGGTTGCAAGCCCTGCCCTGGGTGGGGCTTCAAGCGCTGAGTCATGGCTTTGGTGAGGGGGCTCCTCCCCAACCTCCATGCTGAGGAAGTCCCTGGCTGGCCAGACAGGCATAGGGCAGGAGGAGGATGCCTCAGGTCCTTGGCTGAGCAAGGGAGTGCTGAGAGACTCCTAGGACAGAGTGCTGGCTCCCTGAGCCTCTGCTAAGTGCCCACCACGTTCCCACGTCCCTGGGAGTACATATGTCAGCTCCTGGTGCAGCTCCTCCCAGTTCCTGGCTCCCTGGCCAGCTGCAATTCTCCATGCAGCTGTCTGGGCTGTCGGGCCTGCTTGGGGGTGTCCTGAATTGTGCTCTCCTATGCAGATAGTTACATCTGTGTTCTGGGAACTTCTGACTCCCATAGTAGCCAGCCTTCTGGACCAGAGCCTCCTGTAGTGGCCTGTGTTAGGCTCATAGCTAAAGGGCATTTCCCTAAGCAGGGCAGGCCATGGGGTATCCTTTGGAGGCATGCTGCCAACGATTTAATCAGCTGCTGCAGCTCTATTCTTGCCTCTTCTCTGCTTTAGGATTCATGGTGCCTTGTCCCCCAAGAAGGGATGAGGCTGATGGCCAGACCCTTTGAGGGTTCTAATTGAGGCCACACTGAATTATGTCCTGTGTGTTTCTCAAGCCCTTTACTCAGGAGAAACCCTAGAACAGATCTTTCTCCTTATCCTTCTAGAGAGTAGGGCAGAAAGGGGTAAGGAGCTGCAAAACTATATGGCTATATGTCCCCTCTAGTAGCCCACCCCAAGTCAGTGGTCTGTCTAAACCCTTGGCCTGTTATGTTCCCACACAGGCCAGAAGGGCGTAGCTCACCAGCTGAGCTGATTGTTTGAGGTGGGGACTGCTGGGAGCCTGCCCTTATTTCCTTATTTCCTGTTCCCAAGTTGGAGTTTTTTTTTTGGGGGGGGGGGGGTCATGTGACTGGTCCATCTGTCTTTGGCTTCCGGGATTCTCCCTGGCTTCTCCTGGTGATGTCACCATTAACTCCTCCCTCCCCAGGGCATATCTTTTTTATCAGGCTGGATTGGTGGGAATGGGTTCTAAAGAACCTCTCCTGCTGGCTGAACTGAGCTAGATGGAGTCTTGAGGTTGAGGGAGATGGAAGGCCTGTCCCTTGCTGGTTTGAGGAGTTGTCCTTTAGCTGTTGGTTCAGAACCAGCCTTCCTTAGTGTCATTTAGCTGCAGGCCAAAGTGGCCTGGAGCTGGGCCGAAGAAGTGAGGGGACAGACTCTTTTCAGTTGAGGAGGGGCTGGCTATCCAAGTGGTATCCAAGTTCAACTCTGAGCCCCCCAGAGAGGACTGTCATGGGCACCAACATCACAGCTATGCTTGCTTACTATAGGGTGTGTGTGTGTGTGTGTGTGTGTGTGTGTGTGAGAGAGAGAGAGAGAGAGAGAGAGAGAGAGAGAAGCGCATGATAGCCCATGTGATATGGCTAGGTGGCATCAGCCTATCTGGTGGACTCTGGGTAGCTCCAAAGTATTGGACCTGGGTCCCAGTTCTGTCCATCAGGCAGGTGCTTGCCCCTCTCAGTCTCAGTTTCCTGGAGCCCCCTTCTGGCAGCAAAATCCCTGGGGAGACGCAACAGGAGATGAAACTCCAGTTGACCTAACTGCCCAATTCTTGTTGTAGGGCAACCATTGATGAGGTAGAAACTGATGTGGTTGAGATCGAAGCTAAACTGGACAAGGTAAGAAACAGACCTGGTGGTCCATAAAGGGCCCAGCATTATTGGCCCACTTCAAGCCCAGTCTATATATCTGCCTATGTTGGAGATGCCTATTGGTTGGGATACAGCTGCTGTCCTTGCTGTGCCTAGTGTGACTGGGGTAGGGGCCAAGGATAAGGAAGGGAAGGGGAAAAGGAGCAAGCATCACAGCTGGGGAGGCAGGGGCTATGTGCTGCCTGGCCCTCTGACCCTGTGGGGCCATACTCTAGCCCTGTATGCTCTGCTGTGGTTTCTTCAGTCCAGAGCTGAGGCTCAGCGGGCAGCTATGTCTGGATGCTAATGGGCCTGAACTGAATTTTGGCTGCCCATGGCTGGAAGTGTATCCTGTATGGCCTGGCCTTGTGGCCGATCTGAGTGACCAGCTTAGAGAAACTCTCAAGCCCTCATCCTGCCCACTCTGTCCCACTTGCAGCTGGTCAAACTGTGCAGCGGTATGATCGAAGCTGGCAAGGCTTATGTTACCACCAACAGGCTCTTCGTGAGCGGCGTCCGAGACCTGTCCCTGCAGTGCCAGGGTGACACCGTCATTTCGGTGAGGGGCCAAGGTGGGGCTGGGGGAGGGGAGGAAGCCCCCCAAAGGGTGTCTGGATCACGAACACTGGGTGTCTG